TCCTCATCTTCATCTGTGTCAGCCTCTTCATTCTTCTTTGCAGGAGCCTCCTTATGATCATCCTCATCTTCCTCCTCCTCATCTTCTTCAGACTCGTGGACTTCGTGCCCTTCGTCATCGTCATCATCATCACCAGTATCCTCATCTTCATCTGTGTCAGCCTCTTCATTCTTCTTTGCAGGAGCCACCTCATGATCATCCTCATTCTCTTCTTCAGAACCGTGGACTTCGTGCCCTTCGTCATCGTCATCCTTGTCATCGTCCACATCCTCTTCGTCTTTGTCTTCTTCGTCTTCTTCGTCCTCATTTACATCTTCTTCTTTGTTCTCTTTAGCATGAGCCGCCTCAACTTCTTCATCCACATCGGCTTCTTCAGGCTTGTCATCTTCGTCTCCCTCATCTTCAGCCTCGCTTTCTTTCACGCCAGCCTCTGTAGTCTTCATGACAGAAGCCTCCTTATCCACCTTCTCCTCCTCCTCTTCTTCTTCAGCCACGTCAGCAGCATCGGTCACATTGGAGTCGTCAGCACTTTTTGTGGTTGATGTTTTCTTGACTTCTGTTACTGCTGCTGCTACCACCTCCTTTGATGATACAGACTTTTTTCTGAGGTGGGGGTGATGAGAGCTTCTGTAAGCATCGCTCCTTTCAGTCGCCACGGCCAAGAGTACAACCAGTCCAGCAAAAACGGTAAGGAGGCGCATGGTTTCCGGTTTTCAACAATTCGTTTTCAACCGCTCTGTCTTCGGCTGCATATATATGACACGGTATCCCGCATGAAACAGCGAAACCCAATCCCGAGGACAGAGTAACGCGGCGCTCGGCTATTTTGCACCCACTAAACGAATGGCTCATACCTTTCCTGTGCGCCGACCAATCAGAGCGAGAGATAGCACCAACCAAGTGAAACAGATACGATTTTCTGATGCGCTGGAGAGCACCGACGCTCAGCGTAAACAAAGTGTAACAGTAGCAGTAGGAACCCAGGTGAACAATACGAAGAGCTAGAATTTAAGGAAAATTAGGTGACATTTTACTGACTGCATAAATTGAAAATTAGTTTCATAACTAAGGCGGTATTTATTCCGAGATGATAAGTGAATAAAGGAGGCTCGTTGAAAAATCGAGTTTGATTCGTGAATTTTCAAGCAGTTAACACCGGTTTGTCGTCAGACTAAAGGAAAAGTGGTGGTTTTGATTATCGTGCAAGAGTTTTTGGAAGCAGATGTTACATCGAACAGGGGCGGGGTTAAGGTAGCGCGAATCGTGCTGCGATGACGATGCAAGTAAGAGGGGATGTAAACCATGTTTTGGGAGAATGCAGAATTAATGAAGTTCTATTTGGATGAGCACGGCTAAACAGTTGTCATTTCACGCTGGACGCAAACGAGGATCGAGATCCACGTGCCTGTTGGTGGTGTTTGTGCCGGAATGCCGAGCTCCGAGAAAGTTTCGTGCCCGACCACTTCAATTTCGTCCCAGTTGAAGCGGTGGTCGCAATCACTAGCGTGCGCAAACACGAGAGACAATGGGTCACGTCTTCGGATGGTCAGCTAATATTAATTTCTGCTGGCCCCGAGTTTCCGACCTGTACGGCCCATGTAGACACCAAGGCAGTTAGCACAAGGAATGCGGTTAATAACCTTGGTTTATTGCTCTTTTGGTATGTAGTCTTTAACTTAAGATAGAGCTGCTCTCAGGGAGGATGCCGATGCTGATGTGGTTTAATTATTATTTGTCAAGTATTCACGGGAAAGACCTGGGTGAAACACAGCAAGTACAAACGTTAAACCAGGCATGATACATTTATTGTACAGTAGATGTATGCTATCGCATGAAATTTTAACCAAAATGAGAAAAAAGTATGATTTCGTTTCGGAAGAACGAGAAAGAGGGGATTTTAAATTTGATTATTGAGCAGCAAAACCTTGCCGTATACACCAACCTCAAGGACAAAACTAGAAAAGGCGGCAGCCAATCTGGACAAGATATCAAATCACAGGGAGTAGAATGACTGAGAATTATCGATCTTTTTTGGTACGCATAAAAGTGTAACTATTTTGCACAGTGACTGCATTCCTGACAACGACCTGGGGAACCAGCGTCGGAAATTTGCACATACAGTACGGCCCATAATTCGTGTAAAATGCCAACATATGCGAAATATTGATACTCTTTCGCTAATCGGCATTGGGTAAGATTTTAATACTGATTATCGTGCAGTCTATTCTGCAGTCATTTCAGTCACGAAAAGACGCTGGCTTTTTAACGAGCTTCGTTCTGATCGCCAATAAAATTTATGTACTACTAAAAGTGGCTACTTATGTAGTATGTATTTTTATCATTGATTTTGACTGCCTTTATAAATTCAAACATATTTTTTGAAAAATATGAATGAAAAAAATGAATTGCACCCGTTTGGTAGTAAATTACGCCTTTCTTAAACTTCATACTTTAAAAATCTGTCTTTTTTTTAAAGTTTCTAAATTTTCAAAGAAACCTACTGACTGCTACACTTGAATTCAAGCTTTACAAACTGCGCGCTGTGTACATCCTGTTTAAGGAAAAATACATTTTCGCCTACGGTTTGAGGAAGTATTCACATATTTCTCATAAAATATTCCGACAGATGTGGACCATGCTGTATATATTATAGGCAGCATTAATAAATTGACGGATGTGACGTATGATGAATGAACGCCTTACAATCCTAAAGAGCTCATAAGTAGAAACCTTTTTAAAACCGAAAGCTTCCCTTTCTTGAAGCATAAAATTTAGAGGCGTAATTTGCTACCAAAAGTGTACAATAAATAATTTTTTAGTTTATGGTTTCCACACAATATATTTTAATTTATAAAGGCAGTCAAAATCAATGAGAAAACGGCATGCTACTTAAGTAGCCACTTTTTAAAGTACATACGTTTTGTTGGCGGTCAGAACGAAGCTCGTTAAAAAGCCGCTATCATATCGTGACCGAAGTGACTTGAGAATAGGGTAGACGATAGTCAGTATTATAATCTTACTCAATGCCAATTAGCGAAAGAGTATCAATCTTGCGCATATGTCGGCATGTTACACGAATTTTAGGCCGTACTGTATATAGGTTTTTCATCGTCTCCCAAATAACTCCTTCCTTTTCGTGTTAGAATGTCTACTTTCGCATTTATGCACATTTCAAGAAGGTGCATATTTCGGTTGCAACGATCTGGTTAATTTCATTCCAAATAAGTAACGAAATGTCCTAAATATACGTATGAAAAGTATTTTACTGCATGTCTGATGGCACGTGTCTAAAACATGACGTGCTGTGTCCATTTAGAGGGTTCGACAAAGTCCCCGATAGTTAGAGCGTACAGTCCCAATCGAATTTCCGAGAAAATAATAACAAACAAGGAAACAAGTAAGCAAACTTTGGTGGTCCTCCTGCCCTTCGAATGCATCCGCGTGTTAAAATCCTCTCTCTCCATCTTTTTTTGATGTTTATAGTAGATGAAAACATTCTTAATGAATAGAAATGGCTTTGGTTATATAGGCAGATAGTATCGCAGGCAGACACAACGGAGACTGGAATGGCCATTTCTAGCTTATTAGGCGTCGTCAGCCATTCATACCCAGAACCAAGTGGTGCACCACCGGGCCACAAACTCGCGACCTTCTTGCCCAAAATCTAACATCCCAACCATTAACCCGCGAGCTCGTTGTCTTGCCGGTCTTGAGGTCGTGATGAGCGTTCACTGATCGCTAACGGAACTCACTTTTCCCGGTCTGCCTTGTGACTCATTTCTCGGGACAGATAATATTGTGGTCAGTGAGCGTTCTTCGACAAGTGCCAACATAGCACGACCTAAAAACCGGCAAGGCAACGAGCTCGTTGCTCAAGGTTTAGGACGTTCGACTCTGATCAGGAAGGTCGTAAGTTCAAGGCTCCGGTGGTGCACCATTTGGACATAACTGGCTGATGACGGTTAGTAAAGCAGGAGTAGCCATTTCAGCCTCTTTTTTGGTTGCCGACGATACTATGTGCTTATACGGCAGCAGTAGTTTAGGTAGTGCACCTCATATACCCCTAGTCTCAGTATTTTGTCGTATGGAAACGGTGATTATAAGGCTTTTATGGGTGCGGAATTAGGGTAGGCAGTGGAATATATTTTAGAAAATGCCACATACATTTTATTTTATGGTATTAATAAATTTGGTTGATTATATCTCTAGATTCTCCTAATCCGTACTGTCGTTTAAACTATTACGGAAAGCACATGTTATCAAAATACAGGTTTCTTGAAAGTCCCGAAAAAATAGAAATGGTGGTTAGGAGGCCGTCTATTTAAACCTAGTTTAGGTCAAATTTACCGTTATGGAGTCAGATTAGTATAGTCCGGAACAATAACTGTATGGATAGGGCTCCAAAACCTCAAATCATTACGTCGGGTAGGGATAGGACTCAATACCTCGCAATGTGATAGCTGCTCGAATACTCACGTCTCCCCGACAAAACATTAAGTCGTCTGCAAACGATTAGTTGCCATCACGCTCATACCACAATTGGATATCGTGTCGAACCCCACAACACCATTGC